TGTAGGACCCAAACCTAGACCTGAAAAAAATTATGGGACCCAAACCTGGACCTGAAAAAAATTATGGGACCCAAACCCAGCCGGACCTAGAACTGGAACCAAAAAAAGTTATGGCACCCAGACTACCACCCAATCCGAAGTGATCAAACCGGGACCCAAACCCAATTGGATCCGACTGAGCCCGAACCCAGACCTGACCCAAAAAATGAAAAATATAGTTAAACATATTTAAATGTTATGTTAAATATATGTATTATGTAAATATTATAACTCCAAATATATAAATATATTTATTTAAATATTAATTAAATATTATTATTAAAATATTATATATTAAATATTCCAACCCCAATTAATTGAAAACAAAGCTATGATGAAATTAAATATTATTTATATAATAACACTATTCCGGCGGGTCTACCCAAACCCAAACCCGACTTGAATAGTGTTCCGGTCCAATATTTGAACTCGAACCCGACCCTGACCCCAACCTGTTGGGTCCAATTCTCAGACCCATACCCAGACCCAGGTCAGTTCTGAATGTCGGGTCTTTAGTACGATCCAAATCTAGATCCATTGCCACCCCTAGATTTGGATCGGGAATAGTGATTCCATGTCAACCATAACCAATGCAACATATATTCCAATTCAAAATATTCAACTTTTATGCAAGAATCCTATTTCCAGCATACACTTTTCGGAATCAAAATAAAGTCTCATGCACATGTATCATGCAACACACATTTTTAAGTCAAAAACCAAGCTCACGCCGTTTGGATACCTGGAAATATATTGTCTGTGAAATATATTACTAGCATAATACAATATTGCGTCATACATTACTTGTAAATGGATTGTTACTGTTTGGTTAGTATTTAGATGCAACCTGAGAAATATATTGTTATTGTTTGGCTATGTATGAAAGAAATATAGGAAATATATTACAAATATTTTACTAGCACATGCCTATAAACTATCACTTCTTTCTTTTTTGTCACAAAATTCCACCAAAATGCAGAATTATCATGTCCTTATTTTTTGTCACAAAATTCCATTAAAATACTGGATTAAAATCATCATCACGCCACTCCAAAAAGATTTCTAATAATAACATTATTACCATTCCAAAAAGATTTTCTAATAATAACTTGTTCCATTTTACAGTCATGATGACACTATTTCCTAATTATTTTAAGTGCCTTTGGCACTTATATGCAATCACATGTTTTCTAACATGACATTGGTTTCAACATGATAAGTCATTGGAACAATATGATTGGAATAACATGATTTTATTATAATAAGCCATATTTTTATTTATTTTATGTAGAAGTCTTTCAAATGTCTCTTTATATAATTTCAAATAAACAATAAATTTATGATACTAAATTCAAAATCTGTAGGGTACGAGCTAAAAAATGGGAAGAAGTCTGATTAGTAAACTAGAAGGTTTTGTAATTACAGTATAAAATTATTATTATTTTTGTTTTTATATGACATTGATGCCTTCAGATGAGGGGACGAGATTAAAAAGGAAGGGATCACATTATGTTGTGTAAATTTTTTATTATGATTGTGTTGTGTAATTTATCATTGATTATTGCTTTTTATTTTTATTATTTTTGTTTTGATATGACACTGATGCCTTCAGATGAGTGACGAGCTGAAAAAGGGAGGGATCACTTTATGTTGTGTAAAATTCTTTATTATAATTGTGTTGTGTAATTTATCATTAATTACTGATTTTTTATTTTATTTTATTTGTCTTTATACGACAGCTGATGGCTTAAAAAATTGGACGAATTTATTAATTTTTATTTCTAATATTTTTGTTTTTATATGACAGCTGATGGCTTGGAACGAGCTTAAAAAAGAAGAGATCTCATAGTTATTTGAAGGGAAGGCTTAGAATATTTTTTTAATCAGTGATAGGGTAGGCAAAAACGTAATAGATTTTCCACTAGTCACTGGTCGTAATGGATTTTCTGATTTTTGAAAAAAATATCGTGTAATTTCTTTTTATTTTCTTACGATTAAGTGTACCAAATAGTAGAAATGCATATTTTCTTCTAATCTATTGTGAAATAATAAAAATACCATATTTCCTTATAATATATTATGACGTAATAGATTTTAAGATACCCAAACAACTCCTAAATGTACAACTTACTAATGCGGCTACGGACTTCCTCTCTCCCATACAAAAAATTGAATTGGTCCCGAGTCCTCAAACCCTACCCAGATATTCTCGAAACAAATTTGTTGCAACTCCCGAGCTCTAAAAAAAAGGTAGGCCGCAAGTAGAAGAACTCGTTTACACCCGTCTCCCGTAAATAAAAACAGTATAAGACCCATTCATTTTTAATACAAAGATGTCAAAATCACTTTTAGCCGTACGATTTGACAATGAAAATGTGCCACAAAATTCAATCAATGGGCCCATTCAATCATATAAATGTCATGGCTATTCAAGTTCATATTTAAAGATTAATAATGATTGTAGTAAAATAAATAATTTTATTTTATAAAATAAAAAAATCACATATCAACGCTCCATTTTGCAGGGATATATCTACAATAAACGAGCAGCCTTGACGGCCCTTAAGAAGTAGGCCATGGGCTACATACCCAAGGCCGAGCTAGGATCATTTGCTGCCCAAATAGGCCCAACCTAGCTCTTATTATTATTATTATTATTTATTTTTTTTATCTTTTTTGGCCCGGCCCAAACTCGATGCCAACTACGAAACTACCCAAAATAACTACCCTTAGTACTCAAATGAAGGGGACGAGTGAAGGCTGCATTTTGCGTAGTAACCCACATCGAAATAATAGACAAAAATACAATGAGTTAAACCACACTTTGTTGGGTGCGGTTTGAATAGAGCTGAGGCTCTAAACAATTGAAGTAAAACGCACTTTTAAATAGTATGGAGAAATGTAGTTTCAATACTGAAAATCTTTTTGATAGCTTTAAAAAATATTTTCATCTTTAATTATAAAATTCTTTTTGATAGCCTTAAAAAATATTTTCATCTTTAATTATAAAATTTAAAACTTCAAAAATAGTGTAGATCGAGCAGATTTATAAAAACTCGAAAATATTAAAAATTGACTGTCCAAAAATCTTGAAAATTGACTTTCCAAAAATGCGTTACAAGATGCACTATTTTCAAAACTTGAAATCTTTTTTTTTCCAGGGAAAAGTTTATATAGAGCAAAGGCTTTAAACAATCAAATTAAAGCCTATCTAAAAAATATCATTAAAAAAAGGCTGTTTTGATGCCCAAATACCCTCGAACTGGTCATCTCGATATCAAGATGCATGGACATGAGAAAAAAATGGATTTCAAGTTTTAGAAATAGTGTATTTTGTAACTCATTTTTGGACCTTCAATTTCTTAAATTTTTATGTTTTCATAGATATGTCGATCTACACTATTTTTTGAAGCTTTAAGCTTTATAAATAAATATGAAAATATATTTTAAGGGTATCACAAAGATTTTCTGCATTGAAACCGTATTTCTCAATACTATTTGCAAATAAACTCTAATTTGATTGTTTAGAGCCTAGGCTCTATACGAAATTTGAGGGATATTTGCATCAAAACAATCTCTTCCATTGAAATTTTTGAGGTAGGCTCTGTTTTGATTGTTAAAGCCTCGGCCCTATATAAACTTTTTCCCACTTCGTTAAGGCAGCAGTTGGATTGGCTTTTGCAGGGAGTTTGTGCGAGAGGGACGATTTAGAGAGAGAAAGAGAGGGTCTACTTCCATATCAGCTGGTTTGCATTGGTAGAGAGAGAAAGAGAGGGGTCCACTTCCATATCAGTTGTTTAGTACTAGTACAGAGAGAAAGGGTGCAGAGAAGAGGAGGATCTAAGTACCCGAAGAGAGAGAGAGGATCTTCTTCTCGTTGTAGAGAGAGAAAGAGAGAAAGAGAGAGAGGGAGAGTCTCTGTATGTGTGCAAGGAATGACGAAATGGCATCCTCTGATGACCTGCAAATCAACACAGATTCTCTAACCCAACCTCAAGAGCAGCAACAGAGGTACGAACAAGAAGAGCCTCTCCTCCATGAAAGTCATTCCGAGCTCGACCATGCTCTTCATGGGCTCGAGCAGTTCCTGGGTTTTCTGGGTTTTTACCAGTCACCCATCACCAACATCTTGTTTTCATGGCTGGTCTTTTTGGCCCTCGGTTTAGCCGTTCCTGTTATAACTCTTAAGGCATCACAATGTTCAGGGTGTAGTCAAATTCAGATACTGAAATTTGAGGTTTTTTTATTGGTTTCTCAGTCGTCTTTGGCCGCTGTCTCTTTGATCTGTGTTTCTCATAATCTTCGAAAGTATGGGATTCGAAAGTTTATCTTCGTTGATAGATACCATGGCCAAATGCTTCGTTTTCACAAGGAATATGTGACGAAGATCAGAGTAAGTAATATGTATTTCAATTATTCTTTCTAATTTTCGAACATTTTATTTTATTTTTCAATTCTTTTAGATCAGAGTAAGCAATATTCACCTCGATTTCTTCCTTCCCCTTCTTGAGACTTGATTTGTTTGTTCTTTCATTTTTAAATATTGATCTCTTTATAAACACTGTTTAATTACACTGTTTTTTCATTTGTTCTTGGTTTTCACTCTTAGAGTGGAGGCAATTATATGATGCCTATTTTTCCTTTTTAACATGCAATAATTTATGCTCTGGTTTCATTATTGGTTTTTCCTATCAGGGAATTGCCTTGTTGTTGGTTAAGTTCTGTTTTTTATTCACTGTTTATATTTTGTATAGAATTGATGCTCACAATGAACTAAGCATACCCATCTCATATTTTCTCCCAATTGCAATTCTTTTCAATACGATATTTGTTGCCTTATATAAACTTCACTTTATGCCATTTTCATATTTTGTTGTTTGCATCAAGGGGTCCCTTGTCATGGCATGTCATTGAGACCATGCCATGGCAAGGGATGTTACTGTGGTATAATAGGTCATCAGGTTAGGAAACAGTGACTGGAGATCGCAATTTTGTGCATGAGGAAGATTACTTGTTCCTGTATCCATTTAGATGATTGGGAGGACATTGTGATTTGTCGACAAATATATAAAACACAAATGAAAAGTATCAATTCAAGGGATATCTGTTAATTAACCTTATATAACTTTTAAGATAATCAAAAGACCATTGAATGTATAAGTTAAAGATACATACCATCAATTCTACATAAATGAAATATTTTATTTGTGGTCCTCCTCAAGGTGGAATGTTTTTTCTTCTCTGTAGTCTTAGGCATGCACATACTTTTTTTTTTCTTTTTTTTTTTGAGAAAACATGCACGTCTTTTTCCTTGGCGGGATTGCTTCTATTGTTACAATCGGAGGCATTTACATTCATGTCTTGGCTGCCTCTAAGCTCCTTTCATTTCAAAGGTTTGGACAAACATGCATAAACTGAACACTCATCTTGTGGTCATTTGACTTTATTCTACTGTTTCTTACATTTACCAAGTGTCCATCTCATCATAGATGGGCTGGCTATAGGACACAGGTGAATAGTGTCTGAACAATAAAGCAACCAATCTCATCTTCCTCTTCTTCTTAACAACCCAGATTTTCCTTCATGAAGAAAAGCATTCCAATTGTACTTTATCCCAGGCACCGTGGCTCTAAGACCCTTTGCAGTCAACCAGCATTATATGAATGTTCGAATTAATAACCAAAGAAATTCAAGTAGCAACATAGGGTTATAGTTTGTAGGGGAGGGATGGCTTGTAATAGCTCTTCCTCTTGTTTCGATTTCCCCTCTCTGAAGGAAGGCATTTTTAATAATTTAACTTCATATAGTTCCTTATGAAGCATGATTAGTATTTATACTTAAATTGCGTTTTCTTTCTGTATTTTTTATATTACTTAATTGAGGTGTCCTGTCCTGTGGAATTCTAGTTGTATGTATGTCTAGTTATTTGTTTAAATTGCTAGTTAACAGTTTTGACTTGCTATTAAAGTAATACACTTGACATGCTATTGGAATTCATTTTTTGCATTACACCTGTTGCATTGGAAATTAAAAACATTCTAGTATTTATTTGTTTAAATTGCTAGCTAACAGTTTTGACTTGCTATTAAAGTAATACACTTGACATGCTATTGGAATTCATTTTTTGCATTACACCTGTTGCATTGGAAATTAAAAACATTCTAGTATTTATTTGTTTAAATTGCTAGCTAACAGTTTTGACTTGCTATTAAAGTAATACACTTGACATGCTATTGGAATTCATTTTTTGCATTACACCTGTTGCATTGGAAATTAAAAACATTCTAGTATCTCTGACCAGATGAACATAGACTTGGTTATTAGGTTTCAATACTGTGGTCCTGTTAAAAATTCTGACTTGGTATTTTTTTTTGCAGGGTGTCTTCTCACTGCTCATATGGTTGATATTACCATGTTTACTGGTGAAAACTATTCATGAAGTTCTACGGATTTCATCTATCCCTCACGTTGTTTGGTGGAAAGCTGCTGCTATTTTATTTGGTGTAGTCATATCATGGACTTATCTGACTGCTATTTTTTTATCATCTTGTGTACTATTTAACTTGGTTTGCAACCTTCAAGTCATTCACTTTGAGGACTATGGAAAGCTATTAGAAAGGGATTTGGATGTGTTAGTTTTTCTCAAGGAACACCTGCGCCTATGTTATCAACTGTCCAAAATTAGCCATAGGTTTCGCATATATCTTCTCCTCGCTCTATTGGTTGTCACCGCCAGTCAATCTTGGAGTCTCTTTCAGACCACAGGATATACCAGAACCGTAAATTTCATCAATGCTGGCGATTTGGCTGTAAGTGAACAATGATCTACTTTTTAATTATTTTTCATGGAAATTCTGGCTTCAGACTTGGCTGCTTAACTACTAGGGTACGAAAATCCTTGAAATAATGATCTCAATTTTTGTCAATGATTATTACTAATAAGTTTTAAGAAGTCCAAGATTCCCTGCCTCTTGAATTGATTCCATATTTGGACGCAAAGCCATAACGAAGGGTAACCGTATAGTATGATCCTTATGGTCTTAATAAGATCATGACTTTATCACCATGACTTAGTGGTTATCACTCTCGCACCAATGGTTTGGACAGTGTTGGAAGAAGAAAATCACGCAGAAAAAATCCAGTTCATGAACTGCAGGACCCTACTTTCTCGCCATCACTGTCTGAGCAATTTAATTTTACAATGTGCATTGATAAGTGATAAACCCATAGGTCATGGTTGTCAGTGTGACACTATGAATCATATTATATTCTTTCTGCCAAATGAAGTCCAATCTTATTTTAAGAATGGTGTTGACAGGTTTCCTCAGTTGTCCAAGTTGTTGGCATAATTCTTTGCTTACAAGCAGCAACAAGAATATCCCATAGGGCTCAAGGCATCTCATCAGTTGCTTGCAAATGGCATGCTTTAGTGACTTGCACATCAACCGATATGACTTTACCAAGTGGCACAGATAATGCTGAAAACTTAGAGGCAGATCCTGCTGGTTTGTTTCTTGGCAGTGAGCTTGGTAGTGAGCTTGAGAGTGATTTGGAGTCTGTTAATGATATAACACTTCCGACGCCCATTCAAATAGCCACTTATTTGTCATCTTACCACAAGAGGCAGGCTCTTGGTAAGTTATTCGGATGCAACTAACAATCATATTTTGATTCATGTATAATGGCTGCATTTTCTAAAGTTGATGATATCATTTTGTCATTATTAGTGAGTCAGACACCTTTTGGTTGAGCATGAAGAATTTGCACTAAACCTAGTTAGTTCCAGCGTGATTAACACAGAAAAGTAATGTCAGCTCTTAATTTGGGAAACATTCACTGTGTAGGTGGTTTGTAACACTAAGATGTAGTTCCCACCCAGTGTTCTCGTTTATTTGATGGGTCATAACTGAAAGGTTATGAGCTGCATGTTGGGTGCATGAAAAGGGACAGGCTAAATAGAGGGAGAAAAAATAACAAAGTAGACTGGATTAATAGATTCCATTACCCTATTCTTAAAACATTTTTTCATTATATTTGTTCTATATAATGTTCTTAAAACTGAAATGAACACAGAATAGTGTGGGATGCTGGTTTGGTTGGCTTCTGGTCAAACAACATAAAATCTACAACGTGGTATGCAAACAAGTGTCATGTTTTATATTCACTTTTCTATGTAAAACCATGTGGTAAACCTTGTAGTCCTTGTCTTTTTTAATGTTCTTCATAAGAGGTTTCACGTTATTTCAAGCTTTTGCCATTGTATTAATATACACGGCGGTTAGTTGAACCCAGATTCAGTTGAATGAAGCTACTCTGGCTTGTACCATATCACATTTCTCTACATCATTCCTCCATTTTTAACTCCTCATCTTGGGAATCTTCGTTAAAATTAAGGGTGTGGTTTCTATAAACCTATAAGTTGTCAACCTTAAACAATTAAAGTGAGGCTGATCTCTAAACCTTGCTAAAAGTTGCGGTTCTGGTGTTGGAAATCCTTATGATGCATTAAAAATCTATTTCTTCACCTAATTATGAAATTTAAAGCTCCAAAAATGTTCTAGATCGAGCAAATCTATAAACAATTTAAAAATTTTGAAAATGGACGGATGAAATAATGTGCTACAAGATGCATTATCTTTAAGGCTCAAAATCTTTTTTTATTCGTATCGATATATCTCGAGGTCGAGATGATCAGTTGTAGGGTTTTTCGACGTCGATACAACCTTTTAGGGTGGGTTATTTAGTGTACCTTACTTTTACAGTATAAGTTCTAAAATTACTTGGTATTAACTTTTACTAGATTTATATTCGCGCAACCATGCAACTGTCATGATTGTTGTATGCTGCACACCAAAACAAAAAAGTATCAGAAAGCAATTAACTCAGTTCTAGAGAAGCTAGGTAAGTAGATTGTTTCGTAGGTTGAGTCAACATTCAGAGTATGTCGGGCGGCTTGACGAAGGTTGGTCAGGGCAGATTCCCCTCTCTTTAGGATTATCAAGTACTGCTTAGAGTCCAATTTGAACAAAACCAAGTTGAACTAACCTCTTTCAACAGGTTTAGGTGACACAAGTTCTCTATGTCCACATGAAAAGACTTCTCTCGCACTTAAATAATGGGCACATTGAACTAACAGTTTGGTCACAGAATTGGATTTTATCAAAGATTTAAGTAACCCCCCTCCTGTGTGCACACATGAAAAGATTTCTCCAATTCTTGAAAAATGGGCACAAAAGAGTGAGTATTGGAATTTACTGCTAATGCTAAGGAGAGAGGGGGAAGAAGGTGTTTACTGCCTCGCTGAATTGAATTTTACTAGAGATTTGATTGCTATTGAAGTTTAGGAACATCTACTTTGTTCATTGCTTCATTTCCTCTTCTTTTAGCTACTTTTTTAAATAGCTGAGCCTATTATTAGTTGAGAGCAATAAATGCAAAGAATTGGCTCCCATAACCTGGTTTTTTTCCGCTTTCATGATATTGATTTAGTTTAATCTTATAAAGAAACATGCTTGGCTTTAGAGTGTTCTCTATCTCTGTCTCATGGAAACTAGTTGCGTAATATGAGCAGTTATGTACTTGCAAAGTAATCCTGGTGGCATCACCCTCTTTGGATGGACCGTTGATCGTGCACTGATCAACACTATCTTTGTCATTGAGCTCACCCTAGTTCTTTGGGTCCTCGGGAAAACCATCATATCTACTTCTACATGAAAGCTTCCACTCTACATTCAACCTCATTGGCTCCTCACCCAGTGTGAAATGATGATGAACCATGTAGCTTAGAAGCATACGAAGCAGACAACCACTGCAATATACGGAGTTAATCAATTTTTTAACTGAATACCAAATGCCATATTGTACTCAATGGCAGAGTTGTATTATAATCTCATGACCATGCTTGTCATATTGTACTCAATGGCAGAGTTGTATTATAATCTTATGAACATGCTTGTTTTTGAGCTCCGGTACTGTGTACAAGTACTAAATTGGCATACTATATCGAATGGAATAATTTCCTTTTTTGTCTTTCTGTATGTGTACACCACTGTAGGGATGCTTTCAGAAATGGAACAGCCAGGGAAGATGTCTATCAGGGAATCAAAGATTGAAGGCTTGATTTTTCAAAAAAATATATTCTCGAGACGGTAGTGGAGTGTTAAATTGAAGTAACAACTTCATAATATTAACTCTAAAGAAACGAGAAAATAGAAAACAAAGAGGAAGGTAGTGTTTAAATTATTAATAAAGACAAAGTGCAAGTAGTGTTTAAATTATACAAGAGCCATGTCTTTAATAATCTTCCCCAAAAGGTGGCATATCAACCCTACCTGGGGTCTTTAATAATCTTCCCCAAAAGGTGGCATATCGACCCTACCTGGCGTAACCTTGATAGTTATCTAAATATAAAGCTCCCTAAACTGTTTGAAGTACTTCCCTCTCATGAAATAGTAACACATGAAGACTACTAAAGTCGCCCCCTAATCATAAAAATCTTTATGCCCTTATAGCAAATTCTTTTCCAAGGACTGCCTAGTGCTTTTCAATCCCAATTTTTTAAAAAAGTTTAGAAACTTTTATTAGGATCCTTTAAAAAATCTAGTGATTTTAAAAAATATAGTGATTTTTCAAACTTTCTAGAAACTTTTCGTAGGATTTTTTTTCAAGAACGGCCTGGTGATTTTTCAAAAACCTTCCATATGACTTGTAAGGAGGACCTCAACCAAAGAACTTAGCAAATAAAACCATTTTCTTCAGTTTTCTATCGACACATTCTAAGGATCCTTATCATTGGCACTAATACGATGTTAAATTTGAGATTCGTCCCAAAAAAGCTTTTTTGAGTTGTCAAAAGATGGGCTCAAAAAATTGGAGAAACAAGAACCATGCCATAGTTTAGGAGCTTATGTTTAGATAACTAAAGCATTGTAAGAATATAGGAAGGGTAGAGAAGGTTGGTTATTGACCACAAAGAAGAACACTGCTCCACTATTTTAGTGGTAGAGTACACTTAACCAAAATGAAAATTTATATATAAAACAAATATCAACTACTTCAAGACAAGCACAGCAATCCACAGGACAGCATCAAATAGGAAGATGTAGAGTACACTCGACCAAAATGAAAATTTATATATAAAACAAATATCAACTACTTCAAGACAAGCACAACAATCCACAGGACAGCGTCAAATAGGAAGATGTTATAGCCAAAGGCCATCGCAGAGCTCCAAAAGTTTACCTCCAAGGGCTCACAACTCAGTCTCTAAGATACTAATGCAGCTACCGATTGACGCAAATTGATGCGTAGCAATAATAACATCATAAAAATAACACCAAAAAAATAAAAAAAAAAAGTTTGAGAGAATATACCCTCTCTCAAGGTCTGAGAGGAAATTCACTCCAAAGTTGAGAGAATATACCCTTTCTCAAGGTTTGAGAGGGAATCCACCTCAAAAATCTCTTCACGAAACCAAATTTTATTAACTCGTCCACTTTTTTTACAATGAAGGGAAACCTCCTTTTAAATAGACTAAAAAATAATATGAACATTAACAACAAAAAAACTCTCTCTACACTTTTCCTATTTTATCTCTTCTTCCCTATTTTCTCTCTCTTAAAATCATATGCCAAATTTTCCCTATCCTCTCTCTCTTTAATTTACTACCAAAAATTAAGCTCGTTTCTATCCTACGTTTTGCCCAAAATTCTCCCCAATTTTGATTATTGTTGATAAGGATAAACTTTCTCTAAACTTAACCTTATCTTATTTATATTCTTAAACTGCCCCCTATAATTTAACCTTATCGATTTATATTCCAAATTAACTAACCCACATCAATCAATAATTAATTAACCCAAATCCATAAATATCAACTCACACACAAACTCAATGCCCACAAATATCCCTGCACGCCTCCTCTCTCATTCCTGAAGAGATAAACTAAATAATAATAAAAAATTAAAATAACCCCAATATTATTTGCATAAGATACTCATGCTTTTCCTTTTTCTTACACTTTATACCCAAAACATCTCTCTATATTGAGGTTTTTCTTGTAATTTTCAGCATAGATATTCAATACATCTTTTATATTTTAAAAATACCTCTTTGGTTCCAACACCCTCTAAGAACCTTCTTTTTCTTTTCTGATAATTCCACAGAACACTTGGAAGCCCTAGAAAAACGAAAAACAAACTACCCCTTCTGAAAGTTTTGAATTAAAATTTTGACATCATCAAATTTACTTAAAATTTATTTTGCCCGCCAAAAAAATGTTGGACACTTTTGAAACTTTAGTTCTTGCACCTCAAACAACTTGTTAATATTAGATATAATTTTTCATTACTTCAATTATGGATATTATGCTAGACTCACATAACTAGATTAAACTTTAATGCAAGTTGCAGTATATTGTTTAACTATACCTTTTATTAGGAACTAAATTTCGTTATATATCACAAGGGAAATCATATGCAAGTGTCTTCTAGGGCCTTATCTGAATTCGAAAAAAAGACACCGATTGGGAGATCTTATGTGTAGTGCATTTGGTGTTTTTTTTTTTTTAACAAAAGTAGTACATTTGGTGTTATGTTCTCATCACCAATGTGTACAACCATAATTATTGACCAAATTAGATCCCAGATCTGGTTGGAGCCATGGTAGCGACAAGCAGGAAACTCTCGGAGTCAGTATACCTTAAAATCTTGGGATCTTGATCCCAATATGTGGGGGAGTTTGATCCAAGATTAATATGGATTGTATGATAAATAGTAAAGGACCAAATTCATGTAGTGGTTAAAAATCGAGGTCCCCAAGAGTATTTAACTAGTTAAGTAGCACAAAATATACTACCATACTATACCACACTCCTATATAATAATATCCTGCTATATTATACTACAATACTATGTCATATAATATATTCTATTAGACTATACCGTATGCTAGTATATGTAAACTCACCATATACAACCAATGTTTGGTGTCTTAAGTGTCTAGTACGTTGGTTTAAAAAGCAGTATGGCAAAACATATCCGTACATTTATTTTTAGAATTACATTATTGCATTATATAATATAGCATTCCATCGTATAAGACTAAATAAATGGTTGGAGAGGTGGTAAGAGTGTTCTTAAAGCAAGGTATTGAGAGTTTGACTCGTTATGAGCATATCCTTTTACAACTAATAAAATATTTATTAAGTATATATATTTTAGCTGTACCTTTTTTTAACATTCAACAACTAATGGTGATGTAATAGCATGTGAGGCCGTGGAAGAGTTCAGTTAAAGTGGGGTCTGATTCCCATGATGAACATGGTTACCTTTTTATTACTAAATAATAGTAGAGAAAGAGAGAGAAAAATGTTGTAAGCCATGGGAATGGACCAATAGACTCGCCAAGAGAAAAAAAAATAAGTGTTAAAATTTGAAGATCTAATATTATATGTCAAAAATTATAGGATATTCAATTTAAACTCTCGATACTGTATTGAAAAATGATGCCATCAGCCAACACATATGTTCACGTTTGTGTTGGGCCCTTGTCAAAACATGCGTTAACATGCAATGCCGGCCAATACATGGAGTGTTGTGGTAACATGGTATATAATGATATAATGTACACTATACTATAATGTACATACTACAATAACATACCACACTACCATAATATACTGCTATAATATACAACATTGTTATGCTATAGTACATTATTATACTATGCCACATTACTAGGGAATTTAGATCACCTATAACTCAAAATCTCGATAGCTAAAAAAACGGATCGAGATTCCAAAATTTAAACAACGTGAATGAGTGAGATTCCCTTCCTTGGAGCGTAGAAGCAAGCATGCAGCACGGAATCGAACCCTTGGTAGAACAATCCCGGAAGCTAAATGTCACCTCAACACTCCATATATAGGTTGGTGTCGTGTGTCAACAGTTAGAAACACGAGCTACATGTGACATACGCATTGGCTGATGTCATCATTTTTCAATATTATGTTTTGAATTAAGTATCATATAATTGTTGATATATAATATTAGATCTCCAAATGGTAGCACTTACTTTTTACTTTTGGCAAATCCATGATTCCATTCACATGGCTTGCAATGTTTTTTTTTTTCTCTTTTTTTTTTTACTATTCTTTAGTAATAAAAAAGGTAGCCCATGCTCATGATGAGAATGGAACCCCTCTTCAACTGTTCCATACCTTCACATGCTATCACATCACCATTAGTCTTTGAATGTTAAAAAAAAGAAAATTAAATTATGCATATTTAATAAAATAGTTTATTAATTGTAAAAAAAATATGGTCACTATGGGATTCAAACTCTCAATACCTTGAATTAAACCAGCCGTTTAATTAATATCATAAAAAAAATACTACATTATACAATATTTCAATTATAAAAAATAAATATACAGATGTATCTTACCGTACTAGCTTTATAGATCGACATACTAGACACTTGTAGACTCCATGTAAAACAAGGTTATATGTATTTAACATTTTGTCATTTTCTACACGCAAAAGGGCATATAAAGATTACACCGGTCCTTGAGAAAGGTGTTTTACCTCCATTGTAGATAAGCCCACCTGTTTGTTAGCTATTCCCATAGGCCGTATACATTAGATAAAATATAAAAAGGAAATTTATCAAACCCGCCACACAAAATACACCATTTAGCATTTCACTCATTTGTTTGCTCCTAATTTCAAAAGCCCTCAAAGGATAATATTAAAATGGGTCAATAATGGGTTAGAAATTGTGGGAGGGGCGATGTTCACTTTTGCGACTAGGCAGTGTTCAAAAAGGCACCCACCTAGGCGGGCCAACGCCCTAGGCACTCACCTCGAGGGCTCACCTAGGATATTGATGTATTTTTTATTGTTCACCAAATTAAAATAATAAAAAATATTTTTAACAAAAAAGATGACTTTAATTGTTTTGGGGGTATTTTGGTCAACTATTTTGTTCAAAATTATCTTTTTATTATTTTTATTTGACGCTTCAAA